ACTACTTCTCCGAGTACACAGGGGAGCCGCACAACCTGGAGGACGTGCAGAAGTTCCTGGTGGATTGTTTCCGGAACAAGCGCCGAGACCAGCAGCAGAAGCCCCTCTACCACCACTTCACCACCGCCATTAACACGGAGAACATTCGCCTGGTCTTTCGAGACGTCAAGGACACCATCTTGCACGACAACCTCAAACAACTCATGCTGCAGTGATGCTGGTCCAGCCATTACCTTCAGTAAACCTCTCCGAAATAACCCTCTTCTGCTCTGAAGAAACTGACTCCAATGTTTGTACTCCACAAAGTAACCTTTCTGAATAGCTCTGATGTGCTTTTATGCGAAGAAGGCGGCCTAGCCTAGCGGTCTGTCAGGAACACGGGACGGCGGGTAGTTATTCTCTTAGAGAGTAAGCTTAGAGAAGAGAGTGGGTCTGGCCACTCACACTTGTCCTGCCAAGAGAAGCTGTACGTGTCACTGAGCATCACCCTCTCGCCGAAGGTGCCAAACGCAATGCACTCCTCCCTCAACAAGGGGAGAAAAGCAAGATGAGATCCTAGCACTGTTCTTTGATCTGTTACCTTTGAGCCTTTTATTACTGACCAAATAGCAAGATAAGATGCAAATGCTGTTTTAACCTTTTAACAGGAACTATGTTCTGAGCCTTTCTGTCGATACCTGCCTGGCCTTAATTTTCCCCCTTATTTTGATTGGTGTTTTTAACGTGTAGATGTCTAATCAATTGTAAAATTTTAGAATTCCGTTTTTTTTTTTATATAGATCTATGAATATATTTACCGATCAGCTTTTTAAGTTATGTTTCAGAAGTTTACACTCTTATTTTCCTCTGCTGATGGATAACGCTCACAATTCGTACCACTTGATAAACTGAACTTATACTGTGGTTAGCCACGCTAGGCAAGCTGATAGATGCAGTATGCATACAGCATAAACTCAGGGCTGAATGTAGACCACTTAAGCGTAGTTGTTCGCCTTCAGGAACATCCACTAATTGTAGCTCTCCATCAGTGGCTGGAAATCACATTTCCTTGCTGGCCTGCAGACGACATCCTCCGCTCTGCCCTAGCTAGAGTCTGGAAGAACTTCTTTATCCATCAGGGAACGAAAAACGGTTTCTTGTTAATTTATTTGCTTTCTGTTTTTGTTTTTGTTTCTTGTTCCACAACCAAAACTAAACTGGCTTATCGGTCAGAACCCGCTAACGAAAGCGTCTGTATTCACAAGTGCCACATGTTTAAGGTACCAATAATTTGAACAAACTTCCTCAAAAGGGATAGATCTTATTATGTGAACCTCGTTCCCTCAACAGTTGTGTATAGCTACTTTGTATAGTGCCATGTCCGCCCTGAATACTACTGTTGTAGTAAGTATTTTATGTAAATAGTCTATTCCTCACCGTCCTCACTCTTTTCTAACAGATATGTAACCTACACTGAAATGTATAGCTGTTTTTTTGCCACTGTGCACCCATAAATCCAGAGATACTGACTCACTGCCCGCATTTCGCCCCATTCAGGGTTGCTCTTTTGGCTGGTGCGTCTCAGCTGAATGCTGCCTGTATATGTGGCCTATGCATTCAGATGGCTGCAGCTAGGCCTGGCGGTAGAGGACTCTTTGTCTGGTGTCGAATTCTGCCTTACTCCCCTGGCTGAAGTCCCAGGAGGCTCGTGAAAAGCAAGTATTACGTCTTCACTCTCCAGTCTCCACTGACAATGTCCTGTGTTTTCTAGTGCCATTCACTGCCCCCCAGTGCCAGGAAACCGGGCATTGCATAGAGCGTTTGTTGTCATCTTAGTATCCAATATTAATAAATACTTAGTATCCATTTTAATATTTCACTTTACAAACTCAGACCGTTCCAAGCACAAGATGTTGACTTATTTGAGTATCAATTGAGTATTCGAGAAAAACTGAGTATCAACCTCTAGTATTTGCTGCCTAGTTCTAGTATGCCGAGTCTTAAAACGTTGTATTATCTGCCTTTGAGCTTAGAGAGACCTTAATAAAGCAAGTGTTATGTACTTGCCAAAACCCAAAGGAATGCCTGAGGACCTTTACAAGTCCACGACTTCCATCGTCTGGGAGCCCTGAGGGCAAACCCAAGTGCTTGTGCAAATGATGTCACTGTCTGGTGTAGCCGTGACCGATCTGTCGGTATGACCGGTGGAGGACAAAAGCTGCACCAACATGCACACTGCCTCAATGCCTCTAGTGGAGAGCACTGGTTTGTCGTCTTTAGAGTGCTCCTAACGGTTGACATGTTTAAAGGAAGGGCAATGCTGCAGATAGATACACTACTTCAGCTGTGTTCACTGCTGAGGCGTGTGAGAGAGAAACGTCATTTTGTGGCAGTTCTGTGTTGTCTTTCATTAGCCATTCATGTTCGTTTTTTTCCACTATTCCTGCAAGAGTAGTTGAGGATGGTGTTTAAAAAAACAAGTCTTTCTCACTATATCCTTATCCAAAACTTGATTCTGATCAGAGATGGCTGATTTGCTGTTTTCGGCTTTGCCCAGATAATCAAGTTTGATTCATAATAATTATGCAAGAATCATGCCTACCACATAAAAGAATTCCTAATGCCTCCAGATTGATGCCTCAGACATTTTTGGTCCTTCTTTTCTGGTCCTTTTTTTTTTTTTTTGTACTTAGGTTTTTTTTTTAAATTTGATTTAATGTGGATGCTTTTGAGTCCTCATATCAGAATAATTCATGCTAAAGATTTCCAGACTCCTGTGCTCAGTAAAGAATATAGACCTGCTTTCATTGTACAGTCTAACATATGCTTCTTCATTCTTCATCATTGACCCAATAAAATCATTTTGCAAAAACTGTCATTTTGATTTTGTTTTTTTTTTCAGAATAACTATAAGCAATTCTGCAGCTTGTTTTAATTTCTACAAAAAACGAGTCAGTGAAAGTGCAATTCCATATTGTGAACACTAAGCTGTAGTGTTACACCAAATGTATCCAGGGTTTCAGTGAGCTTTTTCTCATTTACATGAAAACTTTTTAAAATATAAAAAGATATTTTTTAACGATACATTATTCATTTTATATTCTTTTAGCTTTATGGGTGTTACAAAAAAAAAAAACAGCAGGTTGTGATGTTTGCCATGTATGTCATGCATATTGTCTATTGGGAATCTGCACAATAATAAAGATAGATGACAAAACATTCAAAGATACTGTTCTTAAAATAATTTATCAGATTTAATATAAATTAAGCTTGATTTATATTCAATCTAAAATGTTCTTTAAGGAACAGTGTGAGAAATTGTGATATAATTACAATATATGTCATGATGATTCAGCAAAAAAATATGTTTAGAAACAAAAAGCATGTGCACAATAATGGATTTTCAGTTTTAGTCTAAGCAAGGCAAGGCATTCCAAATAACTTGACACTACTAAGATACCAGACGGTGAGCGTGATTTCACCAAGTACAACATGTTCCTGGATCAACATCCTTGTTGATCCTGGAACAACATTCCTATCAACCAATCAGAATTGAGGGATAACTTTTCAGGAAATATCTGTTTTAGTCTTACGATCAGGGTTAGGTGCTTCTACACCCTTGTTATTCACCAATCATTTCACACTGTTTTTAGGAATAAATTATGGGTAGGGTTAGGTTTAGGGGTAGGGATTGGGTTAAGTCTATATTTTTGGACAGTTATGTTGATCCAGGATCAACAAAAGATGTTGATCCAGGAACATGTCTGTCTTGGCAAAATCACGGCGACCGATACCAGACGGCTGTCTTCACAGAGTGAGGTTACTGTTACTGCAGCTGCATGTGCTGTGCTGATCTTCTGCAGAGGTGGCTTGACCGCTGCAGCAGAGCAACATGACTCAGCTTTTTGTAAATGGTCATGTGACTGCTTCATATAGACCACTACAATAGGATTTACTTATGTGGTGTTCCCCAGAGAAGATGAATCTGTGAAGTATCAAATAAATAACCGGGACTCAGTTATAAAAATCATTGCTTTTATTCTACATTGAACATGTTCTGGCATTGCAATATTCAGAAGTGCAGGATCTCACTGGCAGAAATAAGCATTACATTAAAAAAAAAAAATAATACAAATCAAAGGAAAGAAAAGATGCACAAAATGTGTTTTCTCATCAAAAGTACAAAACCTAAATAAACAGTATTTAAATACATGTATGACAAATTAAAAGAGTTTACAGAACAATAAGAGGTACATAAGATTTCAAGTAATTAGGTAAGTGCTTTAATGGGATTTACCTACAGACAGACTCCTCTATGCAGTACATGGTGCTAGAATACATTTCATTCTTTTTTCATTTTAAACTGACTCCAGTGCTCATAAACTGTCATTTCTCTCCATCAAATTATCCATTCTTCTGTCATTCATGTAGTGAATTACACATAAAAAAAAAATACTACAGTCAAGCTGCTCATTCATTATGTTTTCAAGGCCGGTTCTCACAGAACACGTTTTATTGCGCTACTTTTTACGGACCTCTTTAACCATTGCTGCGCATTAATTAAAAAAAAAAAAGTTAAAGCAACTGTATGTAGTTTTGTATAATACTGCGACTTTGGAGGCCCCCTGCAATTAAGTGAGTGGAATTCACTACTGTAAATATATCAGTCTGTAATAGCAGTGGATAGCTGTACACCTGCATTTGTTGCTGCCATAAAGCAATCCGCCCTTCTTGCGGAATTTCATACCCGCTTTATTAGAAGTCTGTGTACCATCAGAATGATCTTGAAACTGATATTTCAAGGTTTAAAAAAACGTACATACAGTTGTTTTTAAAGAAGTTTTACGCGTCTGGAGACTCGGTCCGTGCACCGTGTCAATTTAACAGAAGTTCAACTTTTTACATGTCTCAAGACTCACGGTTTATGCATTCATTTCCATTTGTCTATGCCAAAAAGATTTTTTTGCGTTCTACAATGCTGTTGTTTTCACATAAACGTGCGATAGACGGGACGACTTTTTAAAAACGTACTTGGAAACAGTGCGTCTGGTGCTATGTGAATGCCCCTTTTAGCTTCCCGTTTGAAGTCACAAGCTCTGCGTAATTCCGCAGAATTCTCTGACAAGGCACAGACGGCGCACTCCAAATTATGGCGATAACATTACATTCTATAGCCATAATTTTTCATGAGAAACTCTTGAATGTGTTTCTAGGCAGCCTACATATCTGAGCAGAAATTGAGAGGACAGAAGCCTTTGACGTTTGGTCAGCATAACTCATCCCTCATTCAACATGTTCTGACTGATGATGGGTTACTCTTGATGGAAGACCAAGTGGTCATCAGAACTACATTAACATCTAAGCTGAGATGTTGCCATCTTACTTTCCATTTACAATAGCAATACTAGTTAAATATTAAACCATTGAACACAGACCCGTTATCTATAGGTAAGCAAATGACATATAACCCTGAAACACTAGACAGCTCTGTACCCGTCTCACCTTCATCTCTGAATGAGGCTTATGCAACCTAATGCAATATACATTTGCATCATGGCCTCACTCTCAGCAGCAAAACAGCCTGAGGTTTCATTTTTTTAGACGTTAAAGCCAGAACTAAAAGTGGTATGATGGTTTGTGGACAACATAATTATGAAATAAAGAGTGAAATTGCATTTCACACTAAGACTTTGGTAAATGAGAGGTATAGAACTGAATGCCTAATGGGTTTAATTCTTGTCCTCTCTAAAAGTGTGTCTGTCTGTGGAGACTAGTACGTAGCACACAATATGACAGGAAAGGAACCTCAAAATTCTTGTTTCCTTTCAATAAATAATGATACAAGGAATGTAAACGTGTTTTTGGGATTATGATTGGGTGGTCAGCAAAAGTGCAATGAACAGTGATTAAACTCTTCTTTAATTGCCTTAAAGTTAGATTTGTGACTATTTTACCCTGTTGGCACTGGGTTTGTGTATGGCAGCCTTTGGGATGATCATTCAAGTGGAGGATAAGTGTGTTTACTCTTGAGGTGAGGTGGTATTCATACTGGCCACGGTTTGCTCTTTGCAGGACCGTTGTCAAGCTCCATGTCCATTTCTACAAAGTCAGCAGGGCCATAATCACTACCCTGTGAGCTGGAGTCTCTGTCTGTTGTTTGCTGGTCATTTCTCCTCCTCCAAAGGCAAAGGCCGGATTTGGCTGGACGCACCAGCCCAAGAAACAGAGCACCGACTCCCATCCCAGCCGCGCAGGAGTAAAAGGCTGACCCGTAATTGTCAGTCCTGTCTACCAGAAAACCTGAAACAAAAGACACAAGATGACATTTATAAATGTGTGTGGGAGGCAGATTTATAGGTTTATAACAAGATTCTTTTCATTTACTGGAGGAAGTATGAATGGTTTGCAAATTGGGGTCCACGTTCATAAGGGATCACTGAAACATTTAAACAAAAAGATTTTACAAAATGTACTTTTGGTGGTATCTAAGTTAACATGCACTTAAGAAATTAATTAAATGTGTTTAACTTGATTATTATTATTATTTTTACATTCACCAAATGTTGATACATTTTTAAAAACTGTTTGCTTTTTACATTCGCAGTACACTGACAAAGTAAAATATTTAATATGATTAATTTAATATTTATTTAATTTATGGTATATGTAGAACTGACCATGAAATGAAAAAACCACAGGGCTTAAATAGACAGGACAAATAAAGGGAGAACCTAACTAAACACACCTGAACTGAGGAACCTAGTCATATCAGTAACTATAGAAACAAACAGGCAGGGAACAGAGGAAGACAGAACTAATTAACAGACTAGAAGGCTAGGGGTGCTTCTCAATATCCCTCCTCGTTTCCCCGCTCCTCTGTCCTCCATCCTATGACCCGGAAACCGATCAAGCTCAGCCATCTTGTAGGACATCTCAATTCTCTAATTGCGCCGCGAGGACCGAGGAATGAGGAGGCTTCCTGAGGAGCTATGAGCGAGGATACACCTTTGCTGAAGTGTTTTTCATCGAAAAACCTGACGCACGTATACATTCTCCTCCCCTTCACATCTGTTGTAATAATTTTAATTTAGATTTTACCTTTGCAGTTTAAATACCTGAGGAGCTATGAGCAAGGTTACACAGGTGTATCCTTTGCGGAAGTGTTTTTCGTCGAAAAACCTGACGCACGTATACATTCTCCTCCCCCTTCACATCTGTTGTAATAATTTTAATTTAGATTTGACCTTTGCAGTTTAAATAAACCATACATGTCATATATTTCAAACAGGGCATCTTGCTTTATTAATATTTATTATGAATGTCTTAAATAACAAACTTGAACAACATAAGGGCAGATCCCTTTAGCGCAGCTGATGATGCTTTGAAGTGACGCTAAAGGGAGCGAGGGTATATCATTTCACTTGATTCAACTCCTCCGTCCTCCCGTCTTTTCTTTGCTTCCTTCCCTCGCATCCTGAAGGGGTGGAGCTAAGACGCGAGGAAAGGAAGCAAGGAAAGGAAACGAGGATGCACAAATAAGAATTGAGAAGCACCCTAGACGATTTTAAGGCCGATTTTAAGTCAGATTTGCATCCTCGAACGATCGGGGGGGGTGTCCCGATTCGCGGCTTGTCGCAAACTATTTTTTTGTCCAAAAAATCCTTTATTGTGTGGTGTCATTACGATTATTTATCTGCTCCCGATCGAGACGGAGCGTCGCTGAACTCAAATCTCTTGATCGGGCTGCCTCTGACGTGATACCCGCGATAGCAAATGAGAGCGAGCAAGCGTCACCTACCGGAGGTTGCGTGCTTCTATAGCTGAAACTTGGCAGCCACAAACAAGCCATAAAAGCAGAGAACATCACCCATATTCTTTTTTAAACTTTGTTTTTCACTGTGAAACAGAACGCGCGCCAGGAGAGCCAGCTGACAATGTTGATTGTCCTCTATTTGTTTTTCTTCTCTAGTCACATTTGATCTCGCGAGTCTCCGTGAGATCTCGTGTCACTGTGAAATCGTTCCTACAATCATCAAGTGTGTGGTCTCGCGGTCTGGTCGAATCGTCTAGTGTGCGCGTTCAGAGGATTATAAGGCTAAAAATCGGTTGAACTGTCTTCATGTCTGTGGTCTCCCATGGTTTTAAAATCGTTTAAGATTTGAAAATCGTCTAGTGTGCGCGTTCAGAGGATTATAAGGCTAAAAATCGGTTGAACTGTCTTCATGTCTGTGGTCTCCCATGGTTTTAAAATCGTTTAAGATTTGAAAATCGTCTAGTGTGCGGACAGCTTAACTTAGAAACACATGCACAGAACATGAAAACAGATCAAAAACAAACTCTAAGCATGAACCAACAAACCAAGGTACACCAGGAACATTCACCAAATTTAGATAATATTTCTAAAAATTTAATTTAATAATATTTATTTTGGGGTTTTTTAATATCTCACACAATATAAATGTTTTTTATGCATGAAAATATATAGCTGCCTAAATGGGTTCCTTTGCATCATATTTGAATGTCTTTTAAAAACGCCTGTTTCTAGCCAGTTGTCAGATTACTATGCATCAGAGTGGTTTGTAACTAAAGTGGTTAGTCTAAAGAGGCTGTTTTTACCTCCTAAAGGTGGACCAGCCAGTCCTGCAAAGCTCTGGATACAGACATAGACGCCAACAGCCGATGACATTCTCTGAATGCCGATCACGTCATCTTCAGCCAGCATTGGGATGTGACTGGAGGCCACGGTGCCCAGCAGAAAGCCATAGAAACAGGAGCAGGACATGAGCCCCCAGAATTCAGTGACAAAAGTGAAGATGACCAGCACTGGACAGAGCAGCACCGTGCAAATCAGCAGAATGTAGATTTTGCGGATGGGCCTGCGATTGAGAACCCAACCCATGGACAGACGACCTAGAATCTCAGCCACAGCCATGGCCGAGAGCATGTAGGTGGCGCTGTCACGTGACACTCCTCGGCTCACGCTCAGCTCAATGACGTAGAGCTGCGGAGCGAAGAAGCCCAGACTGGCGAACAGGCCAAACAGTGCGTAGCAGTTGAAGCTGGCATCTCTAAGCACGGAGAAGTCCAACAACTTGGGCCTAGAGGCGCTCGAGTCTACTCGTTCCTGTTTGAGTGGGGTTTCAGGCAGCACTGGTTGCTTGTTTTCACGGTTTTCTTCTTCCTCCTTTTCCTTAAGTGCTTTTTTCTCTGCAGAGTTCTGTTCTGTAGATTCCTGGCCCTCGGACAGGTTGATCTGGGAAGAGGTGACGGATTGGACCCCTGAGTCCACAGAGCCGAAAGAGGTACGTGTGAATTCATTCTCCTGGTCATATTTGGATTCAGGTTCTTTAAGGGGGGATGTGGAACCCTCTGAGGCAGTGGGTTTGGGTTTAATGACTACTGGCTTTAGCAGAGCCCCACAGACGATAATTGAGGCCTGCATAACCCCAATCATGATCAAGCAGTTGCGCCAGCCCATATGCTCCTTCAGTGCATTCATAGCTGCAACGTGAATTCAAATGAAATTAATTACAGAAAGACCAGTTTTTCAACATGTCTGAAAAACATTAGGCTTCCTGTGAAAAATAATAGTCTTTTATGACTATGCAAATATATTTGACTTCCAAATAGACTTTTATCATGTTATGTACATGCTTAGCTAATGTGTAACATTCCAAACTAGTCTGCCTGTGTGTTTAAAGGGCCAGTTCACCAAAAAATGTATAACCTATCATCATTTGTTCACCCTCATGTTGTTCCAAACCTGTATGACTGTCTTTAGTCTGTGGAACTCAAAAGAAGATATTTTAAAAATGCCTCAGTGTTTTTTGTTCATACAATGAGAGTCAATGGGGTCCAATATGGTTTTGGAGAAAAACATGGAGAAAAACAGATCGAACAAAATATCATGTTTTGTGTTATGCAGAAGAATGAATGACACGAGGCTGAGAAAATGTGTGAACTATCCAGAGGACTATGTTGCACAGCTCTGGCCATCATACCTGGAGCAAGTGCTAGTAGGGAGAAGCATTCTCCTGTGGAGGCTATGGAAGTGACGAGGGAACGGCGCTTGCTGAAGTACTGGGTCAGGATGGTAACTGTAGGCAGGAAGGTAAGGCAGTAACCCAGGCCTGTAAATAAATAGCAAAGAGGGAGATGACAGCCACTGGTTCCTTCAACACAAGGGGCTCAGGGCCGGGCTCAAAGCACGCCAAGAACCAGGCCGCTCTCAAAGGGCTGAAAGAAAACTGTATTTAAAAGAGACAAAAAAAGAGACAAGGAGAAACAAAGATCGGCAAGGTTAGGATCAACAAATGATGGTGGGCAGGGAGTGTTTTGATATTTGGGGAAAGCTAGCAGTGCATCTTTTGAGAAATCTGAAAATCCAAATAATTATGTGGTCACATTGAGTGTCAATTCTAATTTGAGCAATTGAGAGTCAATTCTAATTTGAGCAATTGAGAGTGTTTATATATATATTTTTTTAAATCAGCTTTTTATAACAATTAATGAAAAAGGGATTCTCCATGTGTGGACTGGATGGCTTGCGTGTGAATAAATTATTAAATAAAAATGAAATCTTCAAACATATTGTCTTATATTAGGGTATTTAAAATGTGCATTATGAGATATATTTAAACGAATTGGTGTCTTATACAATTGACAGCTTTCTTAAAAGAAGGAAATTTGAAATAAGCCAAGTTCACTTTTGCATAATGTGTTTGAATCCTGCAACTGTATGTCAACACATGAAAACACTCATCCTGTTATAAAGGGGTGTGTGTTACTAAAGGTGTCAAGAATCAGGTTTATTGATGCTGACAAGTCATACACCAGTCACAGCACTGCTTGAATTCCCTCTCTGTCTTTAAAAAAAGTAAGCGAATAGAAGAGAGCATCATGTTTACTAGGGGGAAAAATACTCATACAGTAATGAAATAGAAAATAAATATGGGTAAATGACAGAAAATTAAGACTATTATTTTTATGACAAAAAATACACTACCGGTCATAAGTTTGAGCTTGGTGAGATTTATAAATGTTTTTTGAAAGAAGTCTCATGCTCACCAAGGCTGCATTTATTTGATCAAAAATACTGTAAAAGAGCAGTATTGTGAAATATTATTACAAATTAAAATAACTCTTTTCTATTTTAATATATTTTAAAATGCAATTTATTCCTGTGATTTCAAAGCTGAATATTCAACATCATTGCTCCAGTCTTCAGTGTCACATGATTCTTCAGAAATCATTCTAATATGCTAATTTGCTGCTTAAGAAACATTTCTTATTACTATCAATGTTGAAAACAGTTGTGCTGCTTAATAGTTTTGTTTGCATTTTTCGGGATTCTTTGATGAATAAGAAAGTTCAAAAGAACAGCATTTATTCGAAATATAACTTTATCCAGATTCTAAATGCTAACTAACAGTTTTAAACAAAAAGAAAGAAATTGTTACTTTGCAAAGGCTATGTTTGGAAATTCTGTCTCTTCTTTAATATAAAAATTCAACATTAATTCGTTTTCACAATATCATGCCATGCCACCCTTAGGAAACATGTTTTCAGTTACAAACTGCACTTGCAACAAAAAACAATGCAATATTAAAGTACTGAATAAATTCAGCAGTCATTTACCTTACGTACTTTGTTATAGGACAGTACAGGACAAAACATGTATCACAAATCTAACTCACACTCAAGCTGGATTTACCTGCAACGATACCCATGGTAATGTACATCTCAATGATGGAGTTGGTGAAGGCTGTTGTGATTGTACCCAGGCTGATCAGCAGACAACCAAGCATGACGACAGGCTGATAGCCAAAGCGGTTACTCATCAACGTAGAAAGAGGAGCTGTGGGAAAGATGGTGCCAACCATAAACACTTACGATACCACTCAGAAATGGAACAGCTGTGATATATTTGCAGTCTTACAGCTCAAATTCAATTACAAACACAGTAAATCTATGCACCTCCTGTCTGACTCTGTAAAGCTGCTTTGACACAACCAGTATTGCATAAAGCGCTATACAAATAAAGGTGCCTTGACTTGACTTCCTTTTCAAAACTGTCCTAAACTATCCATTAATGATGGTTCCATTTTTGCAGCAAACGCATGAAGTCAGTATCACTAGCAAGTTTTGCTTGGGGTAATCACTTTCTATCTGAGCCATTTGAGTGAGTGCCTCTGTTTGAACAAGAATGATCCTTTCAAGCCCACTCAGCTGGAAAAATGTGAATCCATCCATTGAGTCATGTAATGGTGGGGCTGCTTTGTCACTGGGCAAAGTAAGTGAATCTCCAGTCAGCCATCACAACAGCCGGCGGTCCTTACACAGCACAATTTAGCACATCCACTAAACAGGGCATTGCTTGCTCTCAACACAAATGCCAATATGAAACGATGAGCTTGGAAGACAGGATCAGTTTGACAGATTCACACTGCAGGAACTCGATATCTTTTTTTTTTGTGCATAATTCAAAGGGATAGTTGACCCAAAAATGAAAATTCTGTCATCTCTCACCAATATTTCATTTATAAACTTACTTTCTTCTCTGAAACATAAAATAGAAGATTAGAAGATTATAAAATAGAAGATTATTTTGAAGAATGTTGGTAACCCAACAGTTTTGGTGCCCACTAACTTCAACTGAATGGACAAAGAAAAGACATTTCTCAAAATATCCTCTTTTGGAACTACACGAGGGTGAGAAAATAATGGCAAACATTTAACATTTAGGTCAACTATCCCCTTAAGGCTTGAGAGAATTACAGGGAAATGACAGATCTGATGACACAGCTTGTTTCTTAATTTTACATTTTGTACCCGCCCTGCCTTTTGGATATGCCCGGTCTTTTTATAATGACCTATTTTCCGTCAACTTCCCTGGACTAAAATTGAGCTGTGTGTTTGGTGTAGCTTGTGAAAAAAGTTGTGGTCGCAGTAAAGTAAAACCAGCATTGATAATAACAAACTAAAAAAATAGTATTCAATGGCTTGTACAGATGTCTTTATGATCGTAAAAGCAAAAGCTAGTAATGAAAAATTTATTTAGGTTTGAAAAACTGTAGTAACCTGCAAAAGCATTCACCAGAAAACATTCTTGAATCTTTCTGCAATATCATACACTGAGGTATTTTTCTCTTGTGTAAACACTGAGGGGCACCTAGTACTATCGTATTGTATCTTTAAACATCTAGATTGAATTACCTGTGAAGGCCATGACAAAGACACAGATGGAGACAACCCAAGACACTCTGCTGTTGGTTTCATTAAAGTCTGTCATGAGGTCCTGGAGGAAGATCCCAAAAATCTTGATAATGCCATAGGTAAAAACCTCCACGAAGAAGAAGGCGGCAGCCACCATCCAGCCCCAGCCTCCATCAGGCACCTCATCGTACACATTGGGGCTTGTGCAGCCCTTCAGGGCAGACATTATTCCTGTCATGATGGACACTGACGTTTCTGTAAATGTAAGCAAAGTTACAGTACAGAGAGTTTTAGGTATGATAGGTAATTTCTACACGGCTTTGATGGTGTGCCCTTGTCAACTCAACAGCGGCTGTGTTTGAAAGCAGCTCATGTCTTTAATTTGCTCTGTCTGCTGGATTATTTTACCTTTCAAGGTGCTACAAATCAATAAAACATTTGTTAGGTAACCACTGTTAGGATATTAGAAAAAAATGGGAGTGCCAATGCCAAGCACCACTTTGAAACTTTGTTTATATATTTATATGTGTGTGTGTATATATATATATATATATATATATATATATATATATAATGTATATATACAGGGGCGTCTCCTTCGAGTAGGCAAGGGAGGCAGTGTCTCCACAAAATTGTCTCCACAAAAAATTCGCCAATATTACAAAATATAATATTAAAAAGAGTATAAATCGCTCGTTTTTCTAAAGAAACATTGTCCAACAGCGACACCAGCAGGTAAAGTTACAGCTGGAGTCCGTGTCTCTCTCGCCTCCCCTGAGCCCATAGAGTTTTAACAGACCCCGTGCCGTGAGTTTGGTGGGGGTTATAGAGAAATGAATGGGGGAAAATCACGTGAGAGGAGACAATGCCTCCATCGCGATATGATTGGATCTGGCTGGTTATGTTCGGCTGTGATTGGTTCATGCGATAAATCCCGCCTCTTGTGTTCATGCGCGTTACGC